AAACGCGAGTGGAATAATTGTTTAGTTCAAAACGCCCCCAAAATATAGAAAACTAGACTAAAATAAAATAAAAACTTCCCAAAAATTCACGCGTACGCTTACCATAATAATTATTTGTGGTGCATGATATAATGGATCATAACCCATGATGGCTAAGCCAATGAAAACTCTCGAATTGCATTTTCTAATGATCCAGTTTCTAATAAATTCTAGTTATGCGACGCTTTCGCGTGGTATACCATGGAATATCCCACGAGCCACTTGTATATTTTATCGGTATACACACGAGCCTTTAGGTGAGTGTCTGTAACAAGAAAATACCAGCAACAATTGGGATATTCCGTGACATAATATGAGATAACTATACCATGCCATAGAAAATACGGTGGCCAACACACTCGATGTTGACATGCGCGGGGCGCATGATGGGAAGGTTGGAGATAACTCATACCGTCGAATGTACAACGGCTTTCCTGCATTCTGATTGGCTTTCTTATGGCATGGTATAAATGACCGTATTTCTCACCAGCATGAGCCCTTCTCCTGCTCTTACAGCAATCATTCCATACACACTGTATCGTGTGGCCACTGGAGTCAGAAGTGTCAACATGGAGGCTAAAAAGATGGCGTATCCAAATATTCTCGTGCCACCGAGCTTGAGAGCGAGGCAGCCACCAGGCAGCTGCAAGAAGGCATATCCATAATAGAACGAGCCCAGAACTATGCCTGTAAATTTACAGTTGTAAGTTAAGTTATGGCTGACTTTACAGTACGATCATTAGATGGGTTAAACGTTTTCCGCGCAAAGTCGCAACAGAGCTAGCTGAGAGGTATTAGAAATTCGCTAAAATATAAGTTACGAGATAACTAAATCGTTTGATAGAATGATTTTCAACTCAGTTTCAAAAGTAATCAGGCAATTACTTTCATTTTGGGTTTGGTTTTACCGCACTCAATTGAAAACTGTCCTATATTTAAATTGTAAATGATTGGTCCGTAGACAAAAACGTCGCGTGATTCCGAAGCTTGGTGTATAGAGCTCAGTTATTTTGGGTTAAGTTTTTAAGATTTAACAACTTGTCAGAATTGAACATCTTTTTTATGCTTTATAGTTTTCTAATGATGTTTAACTAAGCATTCTTTCAGTGCCATGGAAAGTGATTCGTGTGCGTTTGGCTTAGTTTTAAGTCTTTGCCGCAAAATCGCTCTCATTAGCCGCCTGTTCAATTTTGTAGATTGAAGAGTGCTACAGTTACCTTGCAGTTTTGAATCCCAGTCAAATTCTGCTTCCTTAAAGAAAAATAAAACAGCAAAGTTAGTCATTTTCTCTTGTTATCACTCAGTAAATCAGTCATATTGTAAAAGTGGATTAATTTGAATTAGCTACCTCACGGTTTCGTCAAAAGTTTAGCCAAAATTTGTCACGTTCATCGTTTGCAATCCGTGTTAATCTTCTCCATACCTGTTTCTTCAGTTCTGGTTTATTATTATCTCTTTGGTGTTTTTCTATCTTAGTAAACTACTATTTTCAGGTTTCCTTCAGTTTGTCAAAGGTTATTTTGTACAAAGCAAAAATAACTCAAAATGCCGTGACTGAGCTTCTTTAATCCTTCGAAAATGTCTGTTCCCACAATTAATAATGGCAATACCGTACATTTTATCTCTGTACACTTACTCATAGCGATGGCTACTTTCCAAATACTAAAAGCCGGTCAATTCAGGAAAGAAATTAACCTTCGTTTAGTGAATAGTTATTTAAAATCGTACTGACAAGCGGTGAAAATTGTAATCTACAAATGACACGACCATATTTTTTTAGTATATTTTGAATTTTGAATCACACTAATCAAAATTATCGCTTCGCATTTTTGGCACATGTCCCGTTACAACACGATCCTTCTTGTGAATTTTATGGAACGCTTACTTAACCCAAAGACTTAATGAACGAGCAAAATCACTTTTTCACCGAGCAATTAAAGCTCGCACCCGTCATGTAGTATTAGGGAGAGAACAACTTGAACGTCGGTTACATCGAACATTATATGTTTTTTTTTGCATACTGACAGAAGTCAGTTCCAGAGTGATTAGTGGGAGTGAGACCATTAGGTAATTTGCACTTAAAACAAGAGAATAAATCACATTTACATTAATTTTACTACCGCATTGTATCTTGCATCGTAAATAACACGCAAAAAAGAAACAAATATGAACTTTTGATCGAAGACCTGTTTTACGACCAAAAACAATGGGCAATGCAGCGCATAAATCTTTCATTATCTTAAGAAAATATAAAGTCAAGTCAGATTAAAAGTAAAGTGTACTCCTTTGAATTTTTCCTTTACGATGTAGGTCTAGGAAAAAGAAAATACAGTTCATGTCCAATAGATACTTTACCCGTGTGATCGTGTATCCTTTCTGTTGTACAGTGTGATTATTGACCATGGCGCCTATAGCGACGTTCAAATTAACACGCAAAGCGTACATGTTCATAAAACCAAGAAAAGTCATTATCGCCAGAATATAACGCTTTGGAAAGCTAAATTCTGCAGCAGAAATTCTACTCCTTTTAGAATTCGTCGTTTGGGAGTCTATGCTTTGTTCTCCATCAACCTTCCTTTTACACTTTCTTTGATGCGTCGGACATTCACAGAACTGGCAGCATACAAGAAATCTTGACATAAAGCGGAAGCAAGCGTAGAGAGTGTTTAAAAACCGGGTTAGCCCCGACTCCAAGTTTCCCGGGGACTTTGCCATGACTGGAACGTGGCTCTATGACATACTTTTTGTTCTTAAGATGTTAAAATGTTACTCGGTTGACTTGTTGATCGTGTCGGGGCAGCCATGATGGGTAGTTCAAGGTGGCATATTTATCACTTGCCTGCTGGTGTTTGAAGACTACAACCTGCGGATCTGATTTTCGTTGCCAAGCACCCAGTTTTTTGTAAACAAAGAGTTCTCTTTCAAATTTGGCTACCTTTCTCAGTTGCAACACACTTTCATGAAGTTTTCAAATGGCAACCGAAAAACCGACGTTAGAAGAATTTTCTTTTGTCTACCACAGGCAATTCAGGGGAGCGTCGTTTTTAGCCGATTTAAAAATTGTAAACCGTTTACTAACAAACATGGACAATTTTGAGCAAGAGAATATATATGAAATGTTATTATATATGAACTGCCGGCAAAAGATATTCTACATGACAAATAATCTATAGTTAAGAACCCAACTTAGGCAGTGGCTTAGGCAGAATCTGAGTCAAAGTGGTGTCCTTCTCCATCTATTTAATACGGTTCTTCAAGTTCCTCTTTCACTAGTTTTGTTCAAATTTGCGATATCGTTTTCCTGTAAAGTTTCTTCATTAGCCGATTACCGCATACGATAAGATTAAAATTACTTTTCAAAACCTTCAGTGGTTAAGTAAAATGAAAAAAAGAAAAAGACTGAAGAAGAAAATATTCAAAGAATGCGAAAATGTGAATTAGAAACGCATGCATGGATTCGATAAGATGGATAAAACTCAGTGCGCTACTGAAATAAATTGTGACACCCCCATTTAGTATTTAACAATTATTCCACGAGATGAGAAGCTAGATAGCCAATAAAGCGCGTAGCCATAACATGAATGAAGATGTACGCTGCAAACCAAGACTTGGTATTAGCTGGAGTATCGCCGCTATGTTGCGCGACGTCGTCGTCGACGTTGGGCGCACGCGCCCTCAATCCATGCCGCTAGCCGTGTTGACCATGAAAAAAGAGTTGCATGGGTTTCTGTTTCTATGTATGCATGTGGTTCTGTTAGTATAGTTATGGTGCTCCGCTTGGCAGAAAAAAAAAAAGACAGTCTACTGTAGCCAGGAACTTCATCTCTTGATATTACAGTCCAATCTCTTTCACGGGTTGAAAAGAGGATGAAGTGTGAACAACGGCCAAGTTAGTCTAATGTGGCCGCCATCTTAAAACGAAGTGTAAATTTTCTGGTCTAATCACTTTTATGTAGTAGCCGGGTAGTTTTTGTGTGGATTTCAATATATAAAATTGTAACGTAAAACTTCATATCTCGATGGTAGAATCCCATCTCTTTAACCCCTTGAATACCAACTACACATATATGCGTAATTAATGGTCGTGCTCTTTGTACCACTTGTGACGTCATCAATTTAAATGTCATCAGATATTCTTGATAAGCAGATAGTAGTGCTAAGCTAGCCCTTTCCGCACAATGGTCAGGTTTAGATATCGACGACATTCCGACGTCGCAAATCGAAAAACAAGGTTATCAGTTTTGGTGCAAAAAGGTGGTAAAATGGTCCACAACGCCTATGATTGATCAAGGTCCATTTCTAGGCTTCGCCCGTAATTGACATCCAACTTTTCACTGCAGCCAGAAAAAACATACAATGTAAAAGGTAGCCAGTGTAAAAGGGCAGAGAAAAACAGAAAGGAAAGGGCCAACAAACGAAATTGAGAACGGTTAATGGCTTATGCGCATGCCCGTAATTG